AAAATTATTTATATTCTGCAATGTCGTCGACAGAGACGGAATTTCGCTGAGTTAATTTCCAAATTTCGTGTTTCGTCGGAAATATTACTGTTTTATTTATGAGACAAACATATTTTGCCCGTAACAGTGCCCTATATATAAAAGCTTATATAGATGACGAAGACAAGGGATAAACGTTCTTATCACTAGTTCATTCTTCCAACCTTAACGACAACACGAAAATGTCATGATATATTCACAACGAAAAAAAGCTTAACCAGGGCGTAAATATTCTCTTTTCCTTCGGCGTAGATATAAATTCTCAAACGTAGCCTATAGGTCACTCGGAAAATAGGCAATTTCACGGTGCATTGGGCATTCTTTGCGTGGCAAGTGCAAGTCTGCAATGGAATCGTCGTTCACAACGCCCGCATCACAAAAGCTTAACCAGGGCGTAAATTTCAAGGCGTTCTCTTTTCCTTCGGCGTAGATAATTTTAAAGGTTCCACATATTCTCAAACGTAGCCTATAGGTAAATCAAATAAGTTTTCATCTGACGTAAACTGAAAAACTTGTAAGACTCTCCATAATTATCTACTGTTATAATTTAACTTTATTACTCACATGTGATGTGTTTATTACTTCCAATTCAAAATTAGGAAAATGTGTGATTTTCATTTGTTTTCCTTACTGTTAAGATGAGTGATTCTAATGAAGAAATTCGATACATTTTAAAATTTTTCTACTAAAAAGGTAAAAATGCAACGCAAGCCGCGAAAAAAAATTGTGATATTTATGACCTAGTAAAGTGTCTGTGAGAGTAGCACAAATTTGGTTTAAGCGTTTTCAATCCAGAAATTTTGATGTCAAAGATGCACCTCGCTCAGGGCGCCCTGTTACAGATAAAATGGATGCCATTTTTGAAAAAGTGGAGCAAGATCGGCATATCATTTAGTTACGATGTAGCTGAAAAACTGGGAATTGACCACAAAACGGTTTTGGCGCATTTGAAATAAGCTGGATACACAAAAAAGCTCGATATTTGGGTGCCTCATGAGCTCACTGAAGGAAACCTAATGAACCGTGTACTCATTTGTGATTCTTTATTACGACGTAATGATACCGAACCATTTTTGAAAAACCTGATAACTGGTGATGAAAAGTGGATCACATATGACAAGAACGTGCGAAAAAGATCGTGGTCAAAGGCCGGTCTGGCTTCACAGACTCTAGCGAAACCCGGGTTATCTCGCAACAAGGTAATGCTGTGTGTATGGTGGGATTGGAAGGGCATTATTCATTATGAGCAGTTACCGCCAGGCCGGACCATTGCTTCTGAACTCTACTGCGAATAACTGATGAGATTAAAGCAACCTACCTATAAGATGGCAGAAAGTTATCGAACAAAATGGCATCAACACACTTTAGTTAAATGTAAATAAACTTTATAAAAAATGTTTTAATATTTCATATAAAATGCGTAGAAACTTTTTCCCCAACCTATTATAATGATAGGCCAGGATTTGCAATATATTCAGGGATTTGATATTCATTCTGACTTAACTCGGCACTAGCTGTTCTGCTATATCAGTGTCCATATATTTTATTATAGATTTAAACTATCAACTTGACTTGTTCTTTTTAATGCCGCAGCCGGTGAAGAGTTTCCAGAGCGCTATGTGTAAATACTTTGCTATTCAGACGTTAAAAGACCATTAATAGACTACGATTCTGTCGAAATGAGTAGATGTATAAAACTGATAACAATAGAAATGCGAAGTATGGCTAGCCGCTTATGAGATACAATATTTTCGGCCGTCTATGGATGTAACTGTGTTATGTATTCATACCGTAGTGCGCACCGGCGGGCGGGTGAACTCCTACCTATGCAAATTTTACAATATTGCATTTGCTCGCCCCCCAAGTATTTGTTACCGCGATGATGCTAATGGATTTTTCTTTGTCTCCGCGAAATTGCATAATACGATCTTTTTGCCGTCGTACCATGTATACACATTGGAATATTGTAAATAGCGAGCGAATTTTCTAGTGCAACAAAATGGGCACCGTTTTTAAGTTTATCGATAAATTACTGTATATAAGAAGCCGCATTTATTGTTTAAAATTGCTCATATTGAGCGCTTCCCTTTTACTATTACATTTTGATCCAAACAAAACGGCTCTTGTTTCACTTGTTCTAGAATATTATTCGTTTAAATTATAATTCAAATTTTAGTGCAGAGACAATATACACGGGGCGAAGTTAAATTAAAGTCGTATGCGGATTTGGCGGGCGGTCCGCTTGAGCTTAAGGCCGGCTTCGCCACCTGCGCTCCGGACCTAGCACTGAAAACACAATTTGCGGCGCGCCTTTTGTGACTCCTGTTTACTTTTATGCAATTTGTTTGTCAAGTTTATGCGCATCGCTATATATTCCAGTTTCCTAATTCGGCAGCTGTTGCCGGCGTTATATTACGTTCGAGTGTGAATCGTTTCGAACACTCGTCCTGAAGATGTTTATCTTACGCTTTCGTTGACATCCATTAAGCGTGTTATTGTTAATAATACATGAGAATGTAGGGGAAATTGTCTCGGAGAATAATCTTGTTAGCTTCTCGCGCGAGAACTTCTGCCGTCTCGTCTCGGACTTAAAAGGTGTGCAAATAGAGTGGTATAAAACAACAGAAGGAGAGCAAACAAGGTCATAAAGCACGTCACAAGAAAGAGCCTATATATAATCAGCTTAGTGATAAATTGGTAAACAGCACGCGAACGACACAGCTGCTTCCGCCCGTTTCATCGCTGCTTACTTGCCGTAGTGTCTTATAATAAAGAAATGTTACGTAGAAAAAGTTGTATGCAAACTGCTGATATTTATCTCGACGATAAATACCATGAAGAGTGTCGCGTTCCTTTATTTTCAAAGAATATTCTTTTTTATTTTATATTTGAATGCACTCACTCACTCATTAAAGAGTATGCAACCTTTAGCCGAGAAATAAAAAAAAACAAAGCCGATATCCTCAGATTTTAATGACTCCTCGCTAAGCTCTTAGAGTGTGTACTATCATCTACGGGACTATTAGATATTGAAAAAACAAATTATATGCTAGTTTTAATAAAGGAGATCTTTATTACTTCAAGCTGGAGAGTGCAATAGAATTTCAGCTCCGAAAATTTTCACGGCTTATCTATGCGTTCGGTGGTGGTAAGTATATTTTTCTTTTAAAACTATATTGATTTATTTATGCTAGTCTTACAATTACCCAGAAGAAGCAGGTTCACATCTTGGCAACGCCATTTGCAATTAATATTGCAATTATCAACAATCTGTATATATAAAAATGAATGAATCCCTATTTCCCTTGGTCACGCCATCACGCGTGAACGGCTGGACCGCTAATTCTTTTTTTATAATATTCATTGAAGTAGGAAGATGGTTCTTACGGAGAGAAAAATTGAAAAAAATTGCGTAAAAAAGTCTAAAAACAACACTTTTCTATATTCCCGTAAAAAAGATTCGTAATAATACTTAAAAGTCAATTTGAACTTTAATACCATACCATAAAGTTTAAGTGTTAGTGGAGGGGTTCCAGGAAGGCAAAGTAATTTAGTGATGTTAGTATCGTATAAATTTTAATGTCAATATTTGTCATTTTGTTATAATTTTTTACTAGATAGAGTGATTCAAGAGGAAGTTTTATATGTAATACATTGCACCCGTGCGAAGCCGGGGCGGGTCGCTAGTCATTTATATATATAATCCATTAAACCCCTTTTTTATTTATTATGTAGGATAACCCTCTATAGCTACTTGCCGACATGCATATAACTAAAAGTGAGGGATATCTCTGCAGCAAACTAGCAAATATTCTTTATTGCTTTGTTATTGGAAATTTCCGTTTATAAAAACACAGGTAATAAGGTTGAAGAATTTCCGTCATCAGAGTCAAGCTACAAATCAGCGCTTAACTTATCGAAAACTATTAGGATTATGTCATTGTACATAAATACGAAGAACTGAAACAGTTTCTAAATTTCCAGTTAAGGAAAAAGACTCGCAAAGCCATAAATTTTGGTAAATGGATTAGTTCCGAATTTTTCTCTTCCCAGATTTGAATATTCTTTGAAAATCTGAATTAGAATCTTTTAGTCTCGCTTCATAATTTTAATTCGATGCAGTTTCGAACGTTTTCGCCTCTTTAATATTCTTTCACTAGCCCATAATAACTATAACACCAATAAAACAACACAAAATGTCTGATTAATATTGTGTTAATTTAAAATATTACACTTTTACTAAATTTTAACATCTGACCTTGAAATTAATGAGAAATTGTGTTCGGAAATTTTCATTTACCGAAAATGTTTAATACTTTCAGTAATCAATTTTAATGACTTTATTTGAAGAAGATGGAAAACTGTCATGTTTCGTTATTTAGTTATCTTAAGGAGAGAAACATTAAACTGTATTTTTTAAGTAAACCTTAAGAAGATCTGTATGGCAATCCTAACATAAAAAACGTGAATTCTCACGGAGAATTAAAAAAAAAAACGCCAGGGTAATTTTACGATTCCGAAAAGATTGCCGTGTGTAGTAAAGTAAGAAAATTCATGACCGTCTCGTCCCGTAAGGGTCGTAAGAGGCGACTGCGGTAATGAACAGACAGGGGGATGAACAGCTTTCTCCGTTATTTTATTCTGTCTGAGATCAAATCGAAATAGTGTTGAATCAAATCGAGTTTCGGCTATCATTACAGGTTAAAAAATCAAAGGAAATCATAAATAGTTTATTTATCTTAAACTTATGTAACAAGTATAGAAAAATAACATTTAGAATAACTTGCATCAAAGCCATTGATTTGCCAATAATACCTGAAGATTTAAACTGCAATATTGCCATATAAATCTAGCAAGACATGGAATCGTATTTTTTAAGACTTAGACGTATCCTTAGAGTTCTTACCAGAAATTCAGATAAAGATTTAAAATGGGAGTTAGAAAAATCTTTAAAAACTTACCCGATAAGGAGAATAAAATCTGAAGCAAGGTAGTAATAGTAGCCCACTCAAAGTAGCTATACATTGTCTATGAGACCCTTATCTTTCAAATCTGGCATTGGACATATTTCGCAATGTGCCACAGCTACATAATATAATATTCAATTATTTATGAAAGTTTTGTTTCAATTTACGCAAACCAGTGTAATCTGTTGTTGAATTTTTTCGCCCATGCTACTTAATCTGAAACAAAAGATAAACATCGTGTTAGAATTAAATAAAATTCATCAATGCAGAAAAAGCAGATAGAAATACATTATGCCCATTAAAATCGATCACGTTTTTGTTCAGAATCTATTTCAATTGCATATGTTATATTACACTAATGTATTGTATATTGCACGATAGTCAATAGACACTAATTAGCCAACCATCCGACATTGCAATTACGTCGAAATTATGTGGTAGTGCAATTAGACTAAATTGTTCAAATGTTGTATTAAAAAAATACGATATATGCTTAATTGATATAAATTATTAGAGTAGATGTAAATTATTTAACTGACAATTAATTAAAATGAAATAAATAAAATGTAAAAGTGATTTCACTTTATGTCACGTAATGTACAGAGAAGAGTAAGTTAGTAGCTTTTTAGAGCGACACAATGATGAAAAATATATGAATTTATAACATATTAGTGTTTTAGTGAGGAAAAAATGAATTTCTCTGTGGCAGGATATCAACGAAATGCAACTGGCATTTTATTTGGACCATTTGTAAGTCATAAGACAATACCGACGGGTTAGTTATCTTTTACAGGATATTATAAGTAATACCATATTACGTTATTAGAATAGCGAGTTTGTAAAAAGTATAAGAATTATTTTAATAAACAACTCTTTAAAATTATTTAACTTATATTAATTTTTTTTGTGTATGAATTTATTTTATTTGCCTTACATTTATATATTTTACATCGCCGACGGATAATTTGGGGTATGTGTTCATATTTTAAATCACTTGCATATCTTCTTATGGATTTTTATGATTTTTTTTTATTTCGGTATAAACAATAAATGCTGAAACACTAGGTATTTTTTGGTTATTGATAATAATGTTCAAAATAATTTGTGTATCATCAAAAGTTCTAAATAAAAACCGACACATATATTTTTGTACCCAAAAACTTAGTGTATTCGCTACGCTGCATAGCTAAAATCACACCTATTTGTATATAAATAATTAAGCGTCAGCGGTCTTCTTAACACATATTGTTGTACCCAAAAACCTTTAGTGTAGCCAATGCTGCATAGCTAAAATCACACCTATTTGTATATAAATACTTCAGCGTCAGCGGTATTAGCTTAAAGACGATGATAGGTGTACGGTCAGTCGAATAATGGTCACACTCAAACACGGGGGCGTATCTAAAGACGCAAATCTTACATCAGCACGTATACCGTCGCTAATGTTTGCTCATAACGGTGGCCTAAGGGTCCTGCGCGCTTCAGGAGCTCGCTGATAATGGAAATTTGATAGGTCGCGCAGTGTTGTAACACTTGAGCGCCGGGACCTGGGCTGGCTCGCCTCGCCGTATAAATAAGCGTGAAGTGGTGCGGTAACACGCAAACTGGTCATTAACCCTGCTACACAACGTTCTAATGGAGAGGTGAGGGTGTCAGCGTGACCGCAACTAAACCGCCAACGCAGCCCGTCAAGGAAGGATTCTAATTAACGCACCTAGGCGTAGTTCGATACAGAGATACGGCGAATTCCAGTACATTATGTTAATATATGTTTTGTTGTCCATAGCAACGTTACATAATCGATACATTGCTTGCAGTACTTCGATCCAAAAGTAAGCTTCTTCAGAAGCTTATAACTATATAAATAAAATGATAGAGGTTTCACATCTTATACTCATCACAAAAAAACTTCTGTATAGATTTAAAGAAACTGTTTTTTTCTTATTTTTGTTTCTTAGACGTTTGGTACTTATAAAAATATGTTGTGATATTTTACTTTGATGTTAAGTTATCAAAGTTTTAATAAACAAAGAATTTTATAGGTACTTAGTGTACAATGATGTGTTTTTTCTTGCCGTGCTAGGTACAATGTTAGTAATTATACTACTAAGCAACGGAGACAAAGGACAGGACAAAATTATTATAGCTCGTTATACAATATTTGGCTTTAGTTATATAATATATAGCTGAACTAGATCACTTGTATTGTTGGGTGCAGCAACGTAATTTTTGACAAGAAAAAAACAGTAAGGTTCTTTTAATGAGATATTATTTGAAAATGTTCCTAATTAATCGAATTTTAATCTAATTAATTAAAAAAAGATAACAGGACCGCAGCGTTTCTTGCCGGTTCTTCTTTGGACAGGTCTCCTTAAGTCAACCGGTCGTAGTTTTTTTTTTAACGTTCAGTAAAAGCTTAAAGTAAGCTTATATTGAATATAGAAATTTTGACTTTGACATAATTATATCGCATGTGTGAACACACTATTTTTGTAATCAAATTAAGTCACGTAAACAAGAACTTGTTTACGAGACTTAATTTGATTTCGAAAATAAATTTCACTTGTTAAGATATTTGCGGTATAATTAAAAAAAAGTCTCCCTAAGTAATAATAATAAAACACAAGCAATTACTGCGGTTAAACCTCGTAACTTTTGCTGTTTGGGCCAAATCCTTTGAGGAAGTACCAAGCTAATCACCTTAGTGTAAAAATAAACTATTCATCCTTTGCAGTCCGACTGTCAACCGAAACCCAGCGGTTGTTGTGGATGCCCAAGGGTGGCAGTTATCACTTAAAATCAGGTGTATCTACCAACTGCTCCCCTCGGAGAATTAAATTTTGCACTGAAAAATCTTTAACCATTCTGAGACGTTATTTTACTTCATAAGAATTTCTTATGTACTTAAACCAAAATTACGTACTTAAAAGTAACAATAGCTTCTATGACAAAATGTTGAATGATTTTATAAAGATAAGAAATAGAAAAGTTTTTGATTATTATTAACATTATCCGATTATAAATATGAAATTGAATCAATTTGCAAACAAAAAAAATTGTCGTTGGCAAAATAATCAGATTACTATATCAGGTTATTTATTAATCATATTATTATAATATGATTTGACTCTACTTTTAATGTTAAATTTTTAAATTCGTAATATGAACAATATTTTAAGTCCTTTTTAAATAAATCTAGCTACATAATGCTAAATGCTAATGGGAAAGATTGTTTATTAATTCATATACGAACATCATTCACCCCAATGGATGCATATTTTGTAAAGGACATTACATTTAGAAATATTCGATTAAGCTTTTAGATGTAAAAATTGCATATACTTTTTAATAATTGCAAAATATCAGTCTTTATCAAGGTATACCGTCATTATTTAAAGGTTCAAGTAAGGTATAGAATGACTCGCTTTTTATCTTAATTGTCCTAAAATGCGCATACCAGTTTAATCTTACATAAATAAACCTAAATAAGTGTTATATTTACATGAATAAATTTAATAAAAAGAAAAATATCGTATCACGTTTATTTTTGTCCATTAAAGACTTTAAGGCTTTAATACGATCACAAGGCAAGTATACATTTTTATGAGAAAATACGTCGTAATGATCCACGACGTGATAGACGGTTATTAAAAAAGTTAGTAATTCTTTCGTATACAGTATACGAAAGAACTACTAATATGTACATCAAAATAATGATTTTGATTTAAATTAACCCTGATTTTTTTACTTGTTTGTATGTTTGTTTACTACCAATGATATAATCTTTTTGCTTTTGTGTATTATAATAATCATGTATTATCATAATTAATGTACTAAAACTAAGCTAATAGATTAACTTTCTAGGATGTAAGTCTGTCAGTTTCATTGTGAGATGTGTGATGTCAGTCTGTATGTTTGCCATTTGAGATATAATGCGCTAATTTAAGCCATATAGGGGAAGTTGGAGTTCGAGGGTTGCGATCTGGATTCGCGGTTTCGAATCCCATTGAATGAGTTTCCGGTTTCACGGATGTAAGTTCACCACCTTACTTATGGCTTACATGGTTCAAAACCTATCACGTTTGAGATTTAACGTTTAAAGTTAACGTTGAAAGCTCAAGCTACAAATTTCTCATTTGATACATCGCTGCAATGCACTTTACTCTGAAATGCCTGTACTAATTATGATAAGGGTGTGCATACATTCGCGAAACCTCTTCAGACAATTTCACACGGGCATTATGTAAATGATTATGCCCTCCCCTCGGATAGCGATGAAATACGTCAATACGCTTTATTTAAAAGAAAAAAGTAATGAGCGCGCGCGAACGGAGCGGCGCCGGTATGTCAGGGAAATATTTTGAAAAGGTCTGCTCTTTCAAAGCCACGTCGTAGTCGTATTGAATGCGTTTTAATGAAAAAAACATCCGCCGATTCGCAACAGTCAGGGGAATTAAAAACTCTCGCCCGCCGATCCCGAATGCAACGGACGGTGCTTTCGTTTCGTCCGAATATTACTTCCAACCGGCATTTCACAGTACTTATCGCTATAAATATATACGCGCTATTGATTGCGAACAACCTACGTTGATGATCATATTCTGGGTTAACGGAGATTTTTATTCTGTTTAAATGTTAAAGCACGCTCTTTCTATTTACAACTGCGATACTTATTTTACGTTGGAATTGGTCACTTTCATGTTACTCTTCTTCTCACGTGAAGAAATTTATAAATTAATTAATCATTAGCGAAGTTCATTTTAAAAAGTAATTACAACCGACTGACTCATATTTATGTAAATGTAATATTTATTATTATTTTTACAGAAATTAACATATGTTTAATTATTTTATAAATTAAATTTTTTATAGTATTTTTTTAAACCTGAAATTAATACCTTTTTTTCTACGGTATGCATGTTAAGAAAGTTATTCTTCTTTCTCCTGCCCTTGTCGTTCATAATTAAGACAATAAAATAAAAATAGAAGATATAGCCCCTATTAAATTGTAAATAGAGAAGAATTTACTTAATAACGTAATTAAATACCTCTAGAAAA